ATCCTTACAGAGCTATCATACAAATAAATCAAGTCTTTTTCAAAGCAGATGTGTACGCTAAGTTTTGAAATTAAAAGGCATACGAAAGAAATACTCAAAATAAAAGTTGCTACTGAACCAACTTAATTCATTTTCCCTCTTCTGGGAGAAGGCTTTAATCAAGTTAATAACTTACTATGGAAAACAAGAAATAGGCTGAATATTTCTGAATGAGGTGATTTAAGAGTTAATGCTAAATATTCCCGCCCCCGGAAAAAAAAGTGCATCCATATATTCACATTCTAGTGCAGGTATCACATTCATTAAAATCGAACTTTTAGGAAATTAGAAACTGTAATTCTTGTAAACTTGTTTATATTTTAAAACAACTAATAGTAATAATAATGCAAAAATTATTACCCTTCTGTTATTAGAACTATTCGCATTATTACTCTTCTTTTACCGGGACTAGATTCAGAAATATCTGGATGTATGTATTTGTGTATGCATGCACCGTATATTCCGGCATTTAACGCGCGCCTAAATGTAGTTGAATCCAAACTACATTTTTTAATTTTAAGATATATTCGCCATGTAACACGCACCCCTTTCGTTACGAAGAAACTTGAAAGATACATGTGCGATGCTGTTATCGTTTGAAGTCGTCCATCCGAAGATTTTTCGCAGGCTTTCTAACAACGGTATATCGAATTGACAAGCGAAAAAGGGAACTATCTATGTGTATAGTCATGGTGGTGGGGAAATGCTTAAATGAATAAATGAGTCTGCAAAGAGGTTGGGTTTTATTCTATGTAATAGGTGGGCACAAGAATGTTATCCTAGGGTTTCGAGAAAAGGGGGAAATAATTTGGGATACGAATGTGCTTTTGACCCGAATGAATTCACGGAATTTGGAGTCAGATATTTTCACTTTCTGTAGTCATTTAAAGCTGTGATTTTGAAGTGAGCATTGACGGTTGAACATTGAAGGTGTAACATTTGAAATAAACCGTATTTGCTTTAGCTGAAATACAGTTGATCTAGTGTTTCTTTTTAGTAGTAAACATGGCTTCTGCCAAACGAATAAAAACATAGTGCTGATTTCAAAAACCAAGTCATTCAGTTTAAGAAAGAAAATGGAAATTGTGTAGCTGCAAGACTATTTGGTATTGGTGAAAGCTCCATATGTAAGTGGAAAAAAAATGATATCACAATCATTAATATGCCAAAGGATGAATGTGCTTTGCGGAAAAGAGTAAAGGAAATAGTTCATCCTAAAAGAAAGTGTTGCAAAGTGGGTCTTAGAAAATCACTAGAATCGACATTTACGTACATGAAGAAATCAAATCATACGCATATATACAGTCGCTCAAACAATTGAGAATACACCTTACTTTCACTTGATAAATCCAACTTTCAATGGAGATAACACATTAACTAGAAGAGAAAACGTGTTTTTATTTTCACACGTAACAAAAGAGTTAATTTACTTGAAATAAACTTAGGCAGATCTTTATCTCGAAAAATTAAGGATACACCAATGAAATTTTGTGATATATCACATACAAAGACAGTGTCAATATTTGGTTGCATGTCCTTTGGCTTTTATAATGCCCTCCAAACGTCTTGGTATCGATTCGACCAATTTTTTGGTGGTATCTGGAGATATTTTATCCCATTCTTCTTGTAACACTTGCTTTAAATGGTCTTTGTTCCTAATTTGGTGTTTTTCGACCGCTGTTTCGAGTGTGGCCCACAAATTTTCTATGACATTGATGTCAGGGTACTGTGGTGGTGCTTTCAATTGCTCTTTACAATGAAAAAGACACCACATTGTGATATTATGTGCAGTCTGTTTGGGGTCGTTATCGTGCTGGAAAATAAAATTTCCATCTAAACCCAATTTTTTTGTACTTTCTTTAAGATTGTTGTGGAGTATATCTATATAAAGCTTATGATCCATTATGCCATCTATAAAAACTAAATTTCCTACCCCATTTAAAGCCATACAACCCCAAACCATGACGGAGCCACCACCATGTTTAACTGTAGGATGTACATTTTTTGGATCCAAAGTGGTGTTCGGCTTTCTCCAAACGGTGCGACGACCATCACTTCCAAAAATGTTGAATTTACTTTCATCACTAAATATAACTTTCTTCCAAAAAGTTATCCTGTCCTTCAATTGATGAGTTTTTGCAAACTTACAAAAGCTTTTTCTGATTTTGTAAGCTTACAAAATGGTTTCTTTCTAGCCTACTCGACTGCTATATCCAGCATGTCTAATCACATTTCTCACAGTTTATGTGCACAGAAGTTAAGTCAGCACTTACACTTCTGCACATTATTCGAGAAGTTTCTGCAGCTAGTTTGACTGCACTTATTTTAGGATCAATCTTGATATCTTTCAAAATTTTCCTTTTGGCTACATCACTCAGAATACTTTTCTTTCCTCTTCCACTTTTATTTTCAATTAATCCATCGCTTTTAAATCTTCCAATGATTTTCTGTACACACGAGTGGCTTCTACCGACAATTTCAGCTATTTCACGATAAGATTTTCCTTTCTTAAATAACCTTAATATAAATTTTCTTACATCAATACTGGTCTCTCTCCGAGAAGCCATTTTCCATTTAAAATTGCGACTTTAAATTCGCATAACCAACTTCAAAAGACAAAAATAACAGTCGAAAAAGTTTAAGATAAAATTGCCCAAACTTAGATTATGATAGTAGCAAGCAGAAAAAAAAATCTAGTGGTAGTTAAACAAAAATTTCATTGGTGTATCCTCAATTTTTTTAGGTAAAAATCTGCTTATGTTCATTTGAAATGCCTCTGAAAATTTTTATTTTAGAATTTTGTCATTGATTTTTCTTTATTTTTACTGTTAATTAAACCTTCTGTTATGTCTAAGAATAAAAGTACGTTTGCACTTCTAGTTAATGTGTTATTTCGATTGAAAGTTGGATTTATCAAGTAAAAGTAAGGTGTATCCTCAATTGTTTGTGCCACTGTATACATATACACGTGCATACATACGTACACTGCAGGCGAGGGGAAATGGGACAGTTCTGTACCTCACGTTCTACACTGGGCCAATTGACGAAATTTTAACTTGCGTTTTTTATGTCTCGAAAGCGCGACTTAGGATATGTATTAGATTTATATATAGCATTGTTTTAATATAGATATTTTGACACAGAACTGGACTTTTCTTGAAGTGACATGCCAATTTTTTTACATATTTCGATTCTACGACTCAAATTATGCCAAACTGCCAAGTTTTGTAAACATCGCACGAGTACTTTTTTAAAACATAGCTCTCAAAACTTTAGCAAAACTTTTTAATTTTTTATTTATTATTAAAATTTGTATTTTATAATATTTTTATAACTTTTTCGAAAATATTTTTGTATCATATCCTATAAAATTTTTAATATCATCTTGAAGTAGATGTATTTCTAAGCACACGTGCAAAGCATTAGTTTTTTATTCAACATTCCCTAAGAATATGCGTGAATTTATTTTGTCGCGTTTTGATATTTGGCGTATTTAATATAAGCGATAATGACGAAAATGTGGTTTACGCACTTTGTTAAAATTATCTGAAAGAATGAACGATGTATCTTTTTTCCCCTCGTGTATCAATGAAAGAGAAAAGTAAGTAGGTTACTATAAATTAAGAATTTCGCCAAGTGAATTATTCTTGGGGCAAACTGAAAAAAATACGCCAAGATAAAGTTTTTTTTTTATTTCTCCATAAATTTCTCAACAAAAATCATAAAATTTAATATCTAGGTATAATTTCAGTCGTAGAATCGAAATATGGAAAATAATTGATATGCTATTTCAGAAAAAGTTCGATTTTGTGTCAAAATATCTATGTTAGAATAACGCTATATATAAATCTAATATATATCCTAAGTCGCGCTTTCGAGACATGAAAAACACAATTTGAATTTCGGCAATCGGCCCAGTGGAACGAGTGATACAGAACTGCCCCATTATTTATTTATTTATTTTTTCGCAGTGTACATTTCTTAATCCGGTTCCGATAACAGAAGAGCACCCATTACTCTAATAAATCATTTCTTTCAATCAAATTGTTATCTTGAAGTTATTTATGCTCAGTTAGTTGTATTGTGACTATGTCTATACTGTATATCATAGACAAAAATGTAATGGGGTCGATAAAAAAACTATTATTTTAAAAGTATTCGATGCAAGAAAAAGGCTGAGAATCCGTGGTTTAACATTACCAGACTTTTCAGAAGCTTTCTGTACAATGAATTCGATAATTCGACGTATTTAATAGTTCAGTAATCCTACATATTTAACAGTTCCATAATAAATTCGATAATAGGACCTATTTAATAGCTCCATAACACATAAATTCAAAAATCCGCCAAAATTTAATATTTCCATAATAAATAAATTCGATACACTTAATAGTTTCTAAGTCCCGAACTTATCAAATTTTTGCTGCCTTTACAGAAACTGAAAAGGGAATAAAACAAATTTAACAATTATAAATTTAATCCAATAATATGATTTTAAAAAAGTTATAGTTATTATACACTTCTTTTGAAAGATGGAACAGTGCTCAGCAATAAGACTTTTGAAAATTTGATTTTTTATTTATTTCTTTTGATATAATCTTTTTTTAAATCAGACCAGATCTAGTGAATTAAACTTTCGGTTTCTTTCTGGTTCGTTCCAGATACGGGGAAGGGGGTTGTGCTACAACCGCACTGTTAAAACACAGTTCCTCTCAATCTTTTAGGTCTTTTAGATCAACACTGTACATTCAGTAATCGTGCTTCTTCGTCAAATCTCGTGGTCAAGTCGTTCGTTACCTGAAAAGCGTGTCGCGACGATACAGCGAAAAAGATAATTAATCCGAAGAAACCCGAGGCGGCGATGTCGGCCCTGCTGAAGAACGAGAAAAGACAGAGAGAGAGAGAAGCGCTTCGGATAAAAAAAGCTCGTCGGGGACTAAAAATAAGAGAGGTTAGCAGCTCGGAAGACGCAGAGCGAAGATGCTGATGAGGAGTGCATGGTGGGACGCGGAAGGATGGGCGCCGGCCGAAAATGAATTCCATCCTCGTCAGCCCCAGTGGAGGCCGCTTCGACTTTGATGATGGGGGCACTTACTGCGGCGGATGGGAGGACGGCAAGGCCCATGGCCACGGCGTCTGTACGGGGCCCAAGGGTCAGGGAGAGTACAGTGGCACCTGGACTCAGGGTTTCGAGGTGTCTGGCATCTACACATGGCCCACGGGCAGCACCTATGAGGGCCAGTGGGCGAACGGCAAACGCCACGGCCTGGGTGTCGAAACCAGGGGCAGGTGGATCTATAGGGGGGAGTGGACAGAAGGATTCAAAGGACGCTATGGAGTGAGACAAAGCATCTCATCCGCTGCCAAATATGACGGCACCTGGGCCAATGGACTGCAAGATGGATATGGTTCCGAGACATATGCAGACGGAGGTAAGCGCCCCTATAATTCTTCTCACAGAGACACAGCGCATTTATCACTTAACTCCCCAACTTTTTCTTGCATCGTCTCCTTTAAAAAAAAAAAATGGCTTTCTTCTACGATTCCCCCTTACAGTTTTTCTATATAATAACAGTACACTGCATAATCAAAATGCAAATGATTTCACATAAATAGTTTTAAGGTAACAAGTAGATTAAGATTATGAACAGAAACTTAAGAAATGAGGAAAATGTGGTTTATTAGATTTATGTTTAATTAATTATTTTTTGGTATCATTATTATTATTAATTTTACAGTATACACAGGTTTTCAGAAACAGAATCTTAGATTCTAATTGCAAAAAATTTCGATTTTGGTGAATGTGATGGATGCTTTTGATATATTGATGTAATTGTTTTTTTTTAATATTTGGCTTAAAACTGCTTAATTTTAAATTACCTCGTTTAAAATTATTCAACCGGTTTCTTGTTTTCCATTTCAGTTTTTCGTTCTTTGTATTTTTTCAATTGCTATTATTTTTTCTTTTTTTTTTTTTTTTTTTTTTTTTTTTTTTTTTGCATTTATTTACATTACATAAACTTATAAAAATAAATAATAAATAATAAAATAATAATAATAAAATAAATAAATAAAATAAAAGTTTACAAATATTATTGATTTAAAAAACATGTTAAGTAATTTTAGCGCATTTTCTCTAATATTAATATAATATTTCGATGCTTACTATATGATACAGCTTTATATCAATAAACAATTAATTATCCATTGTAGTAATAATTCTTTTCATAATCAGTGGGATCTTATTTCGGTTGATTTGATGCCGGTGTATATTCGTCTGTCGATCTCTTGATCATTAAAATTTCATCCATCTCCATGGGGTAACGCCGTTGGGGACTTCCTGACTTAATCGAATAGGAATCTTCTCCTAAACGCTGAGACTGATGAGTAGAAAATATGTCAATTGGTTCCAGTGTGAAACCATCTATATTCTAATAAGTCATATTTTAAATCGAATATTCACTCCAATACTGATGAAAATTACACGCCAAAATATTTTTATATAATTATTGCGTTTTTACTTTTCGAAGATTACGCGAGAATATTTTGTTAAATTATGCGTTTTTATATTTTCGTTTGATTATTTTGAAAAATGTGCAATAGTATTTCTTAATTATTACATTAATTGGATGAAGATTACACTACAATATTTTGCTAATTATTGCGTTTTTGCTTCTCCGTTTATTATTCATTTCGAAAAATGTGCAACAACATATGTTAGTTATTGCATTAATTGTACCGAAGATTACACGAAATATTTTATTAATGATTGCGTTTTTATTTTTCCGTTTGTTCAATTATTGCGTTAAATATTTCGAAAAATATGCAAAAACATATGTTATTTGTTTATTCCGTATATTAATTATTGAATTTAGAAACTAATTAATAACGAACTCGTGGAATATTTTTCTTTCATTAAACAGTGATGAAAAGTATTCCACAGTGTATGGAGAGATGTACAATAGTAATTAGTTAATTAATGCTTTTCACTTTTCGTTCGTTAATTATTGTGAAAGCAAATATATTTATTTATTTTTGGATTTTTATTTTAGGATTTGTTTTTGATTGCTTTAAATTTTGAAAAACACACAATAATATTTATTGATTATTACGTTTTTACTTTAGCAGTTGTTAATTACTGCGTTAATTACCTTGAAAAATATACTACAGCAATTTTTATTTTTTTATTGAGTTTAAACATTATTACGAAAAATGCACAATATTTTTTACTTAAAGTAATTTACTTTAGAGTTTCATAACTACTATGTTAATCACTTCGAAAAATACACAATATTCGTTGTTCATTTATTGAGTTTGTTAATTGTTGTAAAAACATATAGCAATGTCTGGTAATCACTGCTTTTCTTATCTTTGCATTTCTTAGTTATTGCGTTAATTTCTTCAAAAATGTAAAACACCATTTGCTATTCGTTTATTGCGTTTTTTCATGTTTTTTTTCCCGATGTTTAACCCTCTGACTGCTCAATTCGTGGATCGAAATGGCTTCCAAAATTGTGTTTTTTCTGTTTTTTTTCCCCATATTCTAAATCTATATATATTGCAGAATTGAAAAATGTTTTTTTTTCTTTCTAGAAAATATTTTTTATATAGATTTTTATTATGAGAAACTAAATTGCCAGAAAAACCAATTTCAGATGTTATCACTTAAAAAAAAAAAAAAAAAAAAAAAAAAAAAAAAACCACCTTTTTTAAAATAAATTTCAATCGAATTACAGTAATTTCTATTTATTGCATAATATAAAAAAGTATAAAATTCAAGAAAATATAAAGTCCTGAGGGAAAAATAACTTTGAAATGCAGTTTAGTATGATAGAGTTCAAAACAGGGTTCAAGGCACAGTCTTTGCACCAGATTCAATAAATATAATTATTAATCTAATCAATAAATCTATCGATTCTATATCGATGGGCATTTTTCGCCTTAAAAAATATTGAATTATGTTGTTCTTATCTTCCGGTTAAGGTTTTTATGCCTTTAGTTAGTCTGCATACAATAATTGTAGAATTATCAACAATTTAAAAGCTGTTTAAGTGTGACTAAGCCTATTTTTTTTTTACCATATCAGCCATATTTGTTTATATTTGAAAATTAGCAGAATAGTGAATTAAATCTTTCTGCATCTTGCATCTTCAGTGCCAAAAAATTTTATAACACTGCTTTAAAATGAATTCTAAAGAGGACTTTTCGTGGTATGCGAGTTACATACATACGTACGTATCTATCTCGCATAACTCAAGAACGAATAGCCTCAGAACGTTGAAATTTTGTATATAGGACTGTTATATCATGTAGATGTGCACCTCGTATTTTGGTTACAACCGGCAGCACACCAAACGTATATAAATATATTTATATATATATCCATTCTGTTACCCGGCTGAGTGATCTCAGTTTCTTTACTCTTATATGTTTGTAAATTGTACATTTTTTGCTTTAAAAATGGTTGAATTATGTTGTTTTTATCTTCCGGTTAAGGATTTTATGCCTTTAGTAAATCTGTGTGCAATATTTTTAGAATTATCAGCAATTTTAAAGTTGTTTAATTGCCGTTAAGCATGTTTTTAATGGCGGCCATTGATGTTTACATTTGAAACAGGAGACTAGTGGATTTGTTGCCAATCTAGAGAAACTTAGCTTCGCAACAACAAAGATAACGCATTCATTTATTATTGCCAATTAAATCATGCTTAATTCTTTCTGGAATTTTTCGAGGAAATAATTGTTTAAGATTTACTTCGTAATTTTAATATAGATATTTTGAGTTTTTGTATTTTTTTTTTGTATTTTTGCCTTCTCGCTCGCGAAGTGAGAACTGAATCAATTAAATGAGAAATACTGAATCGTCTGTGAAAAAGTGTTTTTTTTTTTTTTTTTTTTTTTTTTTTTTTTGTTTGTTTGCTTAATTTCTTTTATACATCATTCTAGCTTTATTATAGTATTTGAATAGAACATGTGGCAACGATTAGATAATTCTATTCTTTAAATGATATAAATTTTGTGCATTATGAGTTATAATATGAACGAAATATATAAGTTAACTGTTATATAATTATTGGATTATATAACAGTAAACTTAGTTTCCCTTATATAATTATTATATAAGTTAACTGTTATATAATTATTAATACTGTTAAGTGAATCTAGCGCCAGAGTGTCGCTATGGTAAACAAATACTAGAGTGAATTTTAAAGAATGCATTTATTCTATTGTAGTTTATGCGCTGTCGGCGAAGTAGATTTAATTTAATCCAATAAGATTAAATGAAATGAAAAAAAAAATTCGTATAATTTAATATTCCAATACAAGGAAGTCATGTGGTGTACACATCAGATTTTTATATTATGAAATCGTGGGATGATCAGCCAGAGGGTTAATACAGCATTGATATTTATGCATTAAATATTTCTAGGAAAACCATATTCGAATTTTTTATTGAATTTTTTATTTCACTTACATATAAAGTCCTGCCAGCGATAAACTGTTGCCAGTCGATGATGTATAAAATTTTTCATTATCAGTAGTATTATAAGGCTGCTCAATGTAAAGGAAATTAGTGATATAAACACTCATTTTGCCTGTATCGAGAATGAACGGTTTTAAGGAAATTTTGTAGTACCGTATAGATTGCAAGCTTTTTATATATTTCATTTTTAACTTTATTCAAACGTTAATATATGTTCTTAATATTTCGATATATATATATTTTCGTTTATATCATTTTAAGTTCAAAAACGAAATGTAGAAAATTGTAAATTTTGAAATTTAAATCCTTTTTGAATTGATTTTTAATTTCATTCATTAATTAATGCGTTACCAAAGCTATAGCTATTATTTTCAGAAGAGAAATTACGTATATAGTACATCTACTTTTAATTATTTATGCTTCTAAAAAGTTTTTAAGATATTTTAATTTTAAATTCTTTCAGATGGCGTTTAGATGCCAGCAAATTGTAATTTAAATTTTAAGGCAGGTTTTTTTTTAAAAATTTCTTTATTTTATTTCATTTGTGTATTTATTGATATTCTCGAGAAGTGCCAAGAATTGTTTTTTGTTTCGTACTTGAATCTGGGTTTAAAGAATTGTCACTTCCACAACCTTCACTTCAACGATCGAAAAGAATTATCAGTTCAACGAAAAGAAAGCAAACTGCCACTACCAATTTTTGGATGACATTATCGGATACTGTTTAAAACAGAATTATTACAAAGAATGTATAGTATTATTGTTAAGATCGTTAAAAACCAGCTGAAAAAAACTGCTGCTAATTCTTCTTTTTTCAGTACTTCACTAGTATACCCACAACTCTCTTCTTAACGAATTGAATAAGCGAATGCCTGAAACTCTGCCAAGATGCAGATGTCACTGCTAACGTTGGAAATAATAACTAAAGTAAACAATAACTAAAGTAGG